CACAATACAATGTGTAACACTGGCACACATGTTGTCATTAGGTGCTATCTAATTAACTCTGTCTCATAGTGACCCTATGAACCGCAAAGCAAAACTTGGCCCTTAATGCTCCATTTCCATGATCTTCATCATGCCCAGCTCAATTATCACTGAAAAAAAACTCAAGAAAAAATTCAAGCCTCAATTGCAATATTGAAAGATTCTATGGTAAAATTAGTGAATAGTGCAGGAAGCAACTAAAAAAGATAGAATAAAAACACAAAGTCACTGTACTAAAAAGAACTGGTAGATATGGAATCTTTTCAGGAAGTAGCATATGATCAAAAACCAATGGTACTGAGGAAAGAAGTCTACATTGCACTGCAGGCATTGGCAAAAAAAAAAAAAAAGCTCCAGGAATTCATGGCTTTTCCACAGGTAAAGTTCAATAATAGATGGATTCCAACTCCACACACACAGGGTCTCCAGGAGTTGGAACCCACTTGATGGCAGCTGGTCGTGGTGGCTGATGAGTGAAATCGGCTTATTTCAGTCAACTAATAAAGAGGTTTGTGAGTCCTACAATGTGCTCAGGACTGAAAGACAGAGAGGACATGCAAGGTGAGGTCCCTGCCCTTCAGAGGCAATAGTCAAGTGCTGTGCTCCAGAATGTCCATCATGCCCCCACACAGTCCAATGCAGGAACCTGTCAGGATCCTCTGGGACCTGCAAGAGCTCAGAGTTCAAGGTATAGAGAGGGCTCTGGGGATTAAGAGGGCATGTGGAGAAAGGAGTGCTCCAGCTGGGCCATACAGCACCAAGACTCCAGGGGCAAGGAACCAAGCCAGGATCCATCGGTGCTAGAGTGTCTTTCCCGCCTGAGCTCTGCCTTCTGTATGGCCAGTTAGAAAATGCTGCCTGAAGGAACTCTTGTTCATGGGAGAAGGGGCACTCGGAACCATATTTCCTGTCTCCCAAAGGTTAATGCTAAAACATTAGAGAACTGGTAATGGGGTTTCATACTGAATAGTCACTAACCACCAACCATTATAAATTCAGGCTGTGGGATAAAGATGAAAAAAAAATATAATTTTCAAACCAAGGAGAGTAATAATGAAAACTTTACTTGGAAATTTAAAAATCAAAGATGGAAAGTACTACACATTGGTCTCTAAACCATGAAAAGACAATTCTATCATGTGTCCATTGTACTTACCACATGATTGTGTCCCTTGAATAATACCCTATTGTGTTATAGTTTAACCATTCATCTGTTCATAGACACTTGGGTTCTGAATATCTCCTTCTCAAGTATCTTATGTCTCTGTCCTTCTTGTAATTGGGGAAGGGTTATACTTTTTTAATGTTTTCTATAAATTTTGGATTTTAAATGTTGTCTTGCTTAGTTAGATTCACAATCAATACCACTGGTAACAGAAGTCAAGAGATCTGGAGACATATAGCATTGGGAAAGTCTGTTGTCAAGTCTCCAAAATCCTGAAGAGTAATGATGTCAATCTAAAGACTAAGGTACAACTAATTCAAGGCATAGTCTTTCCTATCACCTGTTATGTATCTGAGAGCTGGACAATTAACATAGATGACAGGAGAATCAATGCCTTTGAGCTGTGGTGTTAAGAGAGAGCTGCATATCTTATGGACTGTCAAAAGAACAGATCTATGTGTTTGGAACAAAGTGTAACCACAGTGCTCCTTGAAGGCAAGGATGGTGAAGCTCCGTTTCACTTATTTTGAGCATGTTGCTAGGAGAGGCTATTTCTTGGAAAGGGACATCGTGCTAGGAAGGATGGAGTGTCAGCCAAACAAAAAAAGACCCTCAAAAAGCTATACTGACACAGTGACCACAGCAATAGGCTCAGGTTTGTCAGAGATGGTGAAGATGGCACAGACCAGGACAGGGTTCAGATCTGTTGCTCATAAGGTTGTTATAAGTCATGTTCAACTCAATGGCATTTAACAACAACATAAATTATGAAGTAGTTTCTTTTTCAGATATATGTTGTTGTTGTTGCTGTTATGTGCCGCCGAGTCGCTTGCGACTATAGCGACCCTATGTACAACAGCCCTAAACCCTGCTCTATCCCGTGCCAATCGCGCTGTCTCTGACACACCCACCCTGACTACCCCAGTCACTAAATCCATCTCATAGAGGGTCTTTCCTTCCTGTGCCGTCCCTCCACCCTCCGAAGCATGATGTCCCTCTCCAAGGACCATCAGATATATAGTTGCTGAATTTTTTTCCCCAATCTGTAGTCTCTTCTCACTCTTGGGGGAAGTCTTTTGATGCACATAAGAGTCTGGTTTTTAGAATGTCCCATCATTGAGTTTATTTTCAGTGGTTTGTGTGTCTTCAATTACATTAGTCTATTTATGCCATAGATTAGGGCTTCTAATTTTGCCTCATTTTTCCTTCATAATCTTTATAGTTTGAGGCTTTATACCTATATCCTATGAGCCGACTGTCTGCTCCATAAGACCAAGATAAGCATGGATTTGCTTACTGTATCCTCAGCTCACAGTGGAACTGGCGCATTCAAATTGCTGACCTTTCAGTTAGCAGCACAACACATACAGCACTAGACCACCAGAGAGTCTTAAATAATATACAGGCTTAGGAATTTTTTAGGTGAAACATCACAAAAGAGTAGAAATTGCTAGAAGTAGGTAGACCTGGAGTCTCAGCTCAGCAACTTTCTAATTATGGCCCTATGAAGCTCATCCTTCTAAACCTGTCTGCTAACACATAAAATAGAGAAAACAAAAACTTCATTTGTTAGCTGCTAGTTCTCATAAGTGGGATAAAGAACATGAATCACATAGTAGAGTATCACAGAGAGAAGATATTTGGTAACTATGGGTTCAGCTTCCTTCGATAATCACCTTTAAAAACAGGCATTGCTGATTATTATATACTGCCTGAATCATAGTTTCTTCTTGAAAGTTGCGAAAGATATCTGAAACATTTATGAAAGAGGCACTGCATTTAAACAAATTCACCAATCTTAATCCCAAAGAATGATAAAGAATAAAAGAGAATAGCTAGATCAAATTTTCCTTTAGGAAAATTAATATTATCTGTATTTACAAAGGGCCGAACTTTCTCAGCATTTCTTAAGCTCAAGGAACTGAAGAACAAATTCAAACCTCGAGTTGCTATAATCAAGGATGCTTTAGACAGAATATTAAATGATCCAAGAAGTATTAAAAGAAGATGGAAAGAATACACTGAGTCACTGTACCGAAAAGAATTGGCAGACGCAGAAGAATTTCATGAAACAACATATGAGCAAGAGCCTATGGTGATGAAGGAAGAAGTTCAGGCTGCTTTGAAGGAAATGGCAAAAAATAAGGCCCAAGGAATATAGATGGTATACCAATTGACATATTTCAGCTAACAGATGCTGCCCTGGATGTGCTCACCAAGTTGTGCCAAGAAATCTGGTGAACAACCACTTGGCCAACTGACTAGAAGAGTTCTTTATTTGTTCCCATCCCAAAGAAGGGTGACCCAACAGACTGTGGAAACTATAGAACAGTATCATTGATTTTACATGCAAGCAAGAGTCTACTGAAGATTATCCAAAAACGACTGAAACAACACATCAGCAGAGAACTGCCAGAAGTCCAGACTGGGTTTAGAAGGGGTCGTCGTACTAGGGATATTTGTAGCTAATATTAGATGGATCTTAGCTGAAAGCAGAGAATACCAGAAGAATGTATATCTCTGTTTCACTGACTATGCAAAGGTGTTTGACTATGTGAATCATAACAAACTGTGGCTGACTCTGAGAAGAATGGGAATCCCAGAACACTTGATCGTTCTAATGCGAAACCTATATACTTGGACTGAGAGGCAGTCATCAGAATAGAGCAAGGGAACACTGCATGGTTCAAAATTGGGAAGGGCGTACACCAGTGATGTGTCCTGTCTCCATATCTTTACAACCTGTATGCAAAACAGATTATCTGGGATGCCGGACTCTATGAGGAGAAGCGTGGTGTCAGGATTGATGGAAGATTCATCAACAATCTGCGTTATGCAGATGAAACAACCCTGCTTGCTGAAACTGAGGAGGAACTCAAGCACTTGCTGCAGAGGGTCAAGGACTGCAGCCTCCAATATGGATTGAGGCTCAATGTCAACAAGACAAAGATTCTCACCGCTGGGCTAATTGGAAGCATCAGGATGGATGGTGAAGAGATTGAGATTGTTCACAGCTTTAGTTTGCTTGGCTCCACAGTCAACACTCTTGGCACCAGTAGCCAGGAAATTAAAAGACATATTGCCATGGGAATGTCTGCTGTCAGGGCCCTCTCCAGGGTACTGAAGAGAAATGGTGTCTCTCTCTGGAGACTAAGGTGCATCTGATACAGGCCATGGTCTTTGCTATCACTTGTTATGCATCAGAGAGCTGGACAGTGACCAAGGAGGATAGAAGGAGAATAGATGTCTTAGAGCTATGGTGCTGGAGAAAAGTATTGAGAATACCATGGACTGCTAGGAAAACAAACAGATTCATCCTGTAAAGGGTTAAACCGGGTGGATACTTGGAGGCAAGGATTCTGAGGCTCCATCTAACATACTTTGGACATGTTGTAAGGAGGGACAGGTTCTTGGTGAGGGGCATCATGTTTGGTAAGGTGGAGGGACAGTGCAGGAGAGGAAGGCCCTCTATGAGGTGGACTGATTCAGTGAATGGGGCAATCAGGATGGGTGTGTCAGAGATAGTGAGATTGGCACAGGACAGAGCAGAGTTTATGGCTGTTGTACATAGGGTCGCTATGAGTCACAAGCACATAACAACAACAACATATTTAGAAAAGATAACTTTGAGTAATTATCGATCTTAATAAGTAAGTTTCCCCTTTTAAAAGCACTCATCATAAGCAGCACTAAACAACCAAGCTATAATGGTACTTAAGATATGATTCACATAAAGCTTTTCAGGACCCTACCTATTTTGCACTAAAAACGCACAGCAGCAAGAGAAAACTCTTACCTTATGTTCAAATGGAGCACCATAGTAGCCATCATTCAGCCCGAATATTATTTCATTTTGGTTGCGGGCATGAATCTGTGAGGGAGGGAAAGCATATTATTATTTCTTCTCATTCCAGTCTAAGTTTAATTTTAAATATAATATGACAGTTAAAACAGAAGTCAAAACTTCAGTGCTATGAGGTAGGCTTACTACATCTAACAGGAGTCACGTATAGAAGATCCAATGATCAATTAAGAGGTTCTTGCTTTAGTCAAATGCTACTTAAACTTATTATAGAAAGTCTATTCCAGAGTAAAAATAGGCTTTTAAAAAAAAGTCTTTTATATTGGTGTGCTTACAAAGTTCATATAAATTGTGTCTCATACAATCATTGTGATTCACTATATTTATAAAATTAATCAACATTGAATGATGCCCACCACTGCCCTGTCTTTCCCTATCCCCGCCAGACCTTTCCCATTTTATCAACCCCTCCCTTCATCCACCAAATTGTGCAACCTTATGATGTCCCCCTGTCCATCCTCATTCCTCTGCTCTTACCCTCTCTCCCCCCACTTTGGATCCTCATACACAAAATCTTGGCTTTTTAGATGGATCACTCAAGGAGGAAATACAGAGGCATACTATACATCCTTTGATCTCAAAGAAAACAATATCCAGTTAGTTTTGTAAGGGTGCTTTCAAAAGTTTGAAGCTCTAGAAAAATATGTAAAAAAGATAATAAAAATCCTAAGAGATTAATATTATATTTCCTTTTCAAAAAGATGGATGAAAATAAATAATATTCAACCCCTAATGTAAAGATGCAAATGATTCAAGAGTCAGTCAGAGCCATCCCAAATTGCACTTCATTTAGAATGTCAAGTAGGTTCAAGTGAGAGAACATCTCTTCTTACTAGTCAATGTCAATAGCAGCAAATTCCTAAGGGAGCTCTGGTGACCTAGTGGCAAGAAGCTGCACTGCAATCCCAGAGGTACATGGTTCGAATCCACCAGATGCTCTGCTGGAGAAGGAGGAACAATCTCCTCCTATACCAGTCAGATCCAAGTTGATGGTACACACACACACACACACACACACACACACACACACACACACTAATTTAAAAAAAATAGTAGTAAATTCCTACAATTACCTGACTCACATCTTCTATGTCAAGTACTGATGTAAACTGAATTGCATAGTCCCTACTTCCTATTTATTTTCTTGAACTCAATGCAATACCAAAAGATAAATGCAATAATAAGTTTCTAAACTAAAGAACAATGTCAAGATAGGTTTAATTTTATAAAAGAAGGATTTTGAAACAACTTTCAAGATTAAAAGAGTCTTACATTTTATAAACTTAGAAATATTTCATATATGTATATTCATGGGGGAAACATTCAAATTATATGCAGCAAAATGTTAACCAATAGTTTACTTTTTGTTAGATGAGCAACGGAATTATGCATAGTATCTCCTGTGTCTTTAAAATTATTCTGAACTGTACACAAATAATGTATTACTTTTAAAATAAAAGTTTAAAAAATATAGAGATAAAAAGGATTGGTAGGAATAAATAGGTGGAAACGAATCTAGAGTGAAAATTCTTAAGGTTTAAGTTTCACAAAAGCAGGTTGTTAGAAAATAGTAGGCAACATCATTAAGAAAAGACCTGAAGTAATTATAAGAGACTGTGTGGCCTTTTAGGATAGGCTAGCTTCTACACAAAGAAAACAAAAATCTTCACAAATGAACCAAGTAAGTATCATCCTTATAAAAGGGGGAAACACTGACGTTGTCAAAGAGTCTCTTTTACTTGGATGCACATCCAATCCAATCCTCATGGAAGCAATAGTCAAGAACCAGATGATATTATTCAAATAGGCCTCAGAGGATCTCCATAGAGTGTTCAAGAGCAGACATGGCACTTTGAGGACAAAGGCACACTTGACTAAAACCATGGTATATTCAATCACTTCACTGCACGTAAAAGCTGGACAATGAAAAAGGAAGACTGAAAAGAATTGAATTGTGGTGTTGGCAAAGAGTAGTGGACTACCAAAAGAACAAAGCAAGCTATCTTGGAGGACGGGCAACCAGGGTGACTCTTTACAGAAAGGTATGATCACGCTTCATCTCACATACTTGGGTCATGTTTAGGAGGTTCCAGTCCTTGGGAAAAGGACATCACGCTTGGAAGAGTACAGAGTCAGCAAAGAGGAAAAACTTCAAGGTGGCTGGACTGACACTGTGGCACCAACAGTGGGCTTGTGATAGAGACTGCAAAGATGGTGCGGCAGGACAAGATGCTGTGTGTTAAGATGCTATGAGTCACAGCCTATTCAACAACTCCTAAAAACAAGCCTTAATGAACACATATGCAAAAACACTCAACAAAATCCTAGACAACACAGTCCAATATCATTAAAAAAAATTCATCACAATTGAGTGGGATACATACCAGGTATTTAATGTTTTGACACCAGAAAAACATTGGTGTGATCTAATATATCAATAAAACAAAGGCAAAGACCCTCAAGAAAACATCAGTTGATACAGAAAAGACATTTGGCAAAGTTTAATGTCCTTTCCTGATAAAAATACACAACAAAATAGGAATAGAAGGATAATTCCTCAACATAATTAAAAGTGTATATCTAAAACCAAGAGTCAATATTACTCTCACTGGGAAGAGAATTCCCCTTTGCAAAGATAAACCAGACAAGAATGCCCTTTATCACTTCTGTTCAATCTTGCATGTGAAGTCCTAGCTAGAGCACTAAAGCAAGAAAAGGAAATGAAAGGCATACAAACAGGAAAAAGGAAATGAAACTATTTCTATTTGTATGATATGATATGATCCTAATACAGAAAGTCGCCAACACTTAGCAAGAAAAGTACTGGATCTAGTTCATTGCAAACACATTTTATAAGAGACACAAACGCAGGTTATACAAATGGACTTCACCTGATGATATGCATAGGAATCAGATCGACTACATCTGTGGAAGGAACCGCTGGAGAAGCTCAATATCAGCTGTGAAAACTAGGCCGGGGGCTGATTGTGGAACAG